CATGTGTCTATCTCGGATATTGTTTTACACCAATATCCATCAACCGATTTGTCTAAAGACATGTCATCTCAAAAATAACCAGCAATATTTCATATTTTTCATGCATCATAGGGACACCAGCAAATAAAATTCATCACGCCATAACTCCTATGTAATGGAATTGCAATGAGATGTACACTGGTGCATATTCCTATAAACGCACTATACTTTTTTATAAAAAGTGAAAAAAAATAAATAAGAACATTATTAGGGGGTTAAGAAATTGTTTATTAAATTAATTAAGGCTTCTCTTAAAACAATATTAACAAAAAATAGTTCATTTGTACTTTATTTATGTTTTTTAGTTAATTTTGAAATTTATCTTCCATTTTTAAGGCCATTTTCCTATAAACGCACTTTACATTATGGGCCACTGTGGCAATATTAATAATGTGTGGATGATCCTTTGTTGAGGATTGTTTAAAAAATGCGGTCTGGCATTGATTCCACTAATTTTTTAAGGAAGTCTGAATCAATTTCCTCCCAAACTTGCTTAATTCGTAGTTTTAACTCTGTAACGGTCATTATGCTTACATTCTGGGCATTATGTGCGTAAACTTTACGGGCCATATATCCCCACAAGTTCTCCATTGGGTTTAAGTCCGGACTACAAACTGGCCAATCCAAAACCGGAATGTTATGTTCATCAAACCAAGATTTCGATTGCTTTATCTTGTTGGAAAATGCAATCTTCATCCATTTTTTCATCCATAAATGAGAGAAGAGCATCTTCCAACAGTTCGTTATAAATTGTAATATTCATTTTTGTAGGAACGAAACAGACGAAACGACTTGCCAACTGTAGAAAACGCTGCCCAACGCAGTATGAATCAGGACCATCTAAATTAAATTTCTTTTCGTCAGAAAAAAATACTTTTTTCCACTCATCTGTCCATTTCATGTATTTTCCTGCAAATTTAAGACGATCTTCTTTATGGTGTTTTTTAGCATTGGCTTGCATTTCGGTTTTTTCCATTTTATGTTTTCATCTTGCCGTAAAATGTGTGCAACGTGTTTGGATGTTACAGGAAGATCTAATTTATAATTTATTTGTATGGAATTCAATTTGTTTCGGGTTGTTTCTTGTTTTATTAGATTTAATTGTCTTCTTGTTAGTTTTTTATTTCCCTTTGTAGGTTTGCGAACTCCATAATTTTGGCCTTTCTTCAAGAAATTTCCCACCACACATTCCGAACGATCGATTTTACGTCCAATCTCTCTATTGGAACATCCTTCGTCGTGAAAAAAAAAATAATTTGAATCTTTTCTTGGTCGGACAAAAAAGATCCCTTGGGCATCTTTAAAAGTGATTAAAATTTACGGATTTTAATATAAAAAGTTGTACTAAATTGAAACGATACTATTAGAAACGTACCTCCGGTTGAAAACAAACTAAAATTGATAATATTTTACTTTTAGAAAAAATTTTAATAGAAAATTTCGCGTCTGCGTTTATAGGAATCTTCCACTCAAAACAGAACCAAAAACTTTATAACGCATAAACAATGTAAACAAGAAAAAGAAGAAAACAATTTGTACATTAAAAAAGTACCGTTATGCTTCCTCTTATTAGTAATAAAGTTCAATTTTGCTTTTGAATGAGAACAAGAATAATATAACAAAAATAAGGAAGAAAATAAAGTGCGTTTATAGGAATGTGCATCAGTGTATCTCAACCCAGCACGTTTTATAGTGATCATATCATTAATATTTGAAAAAAAAAAAAACAATTATAAATCTCAATTACATCAATACATACATATTATATGTTTATATCTAATTTGTAATACATGCAGTATCAATTTACAAATCAAATATAAACTATGATAACGTAGGCTTTATAATACAACGATGTGCACACTGCATACAAATATAACAACTCAGGCTCTATTTCTGAGTTGTTAGCATCTTGTTTGAAATAGTTTAACTAGTTTTGAAGTTATTGCCAATAGATATAAACTTTCAGCCTCTGACATATGTTGACTATAATTGCCCTAACATTGAAATATCATATTTATTTGCATAAAATTTTTACATATTCCATTTACTTTACACTTTTATTCATTCTAGATAAAAACCTTAGTAGTAGCAGTAGCATTTGTAGTGAATCATTTTTCACTTTGATATACCATCTGATATCTACTTTATAGCGAAAATAGTATAAGCACCTTGGTTCCTGAAGCATTATCTTGAAAGGTATTTTTTATTTCTACGTGTTGTGTTTGCAGCTTTTCGACGTCGAGTTTCCGTGTTGTGTTAGATCGCAACTTTGCTGCTACATTAAGACGGGTGCGTACCTTGGCTGCCACAATGTAATGGTCCGAATCGATATTCGATCCTCGGATCGATCGGAGGTCTAAAACACTGGATGAATGCATTCCGTCTATCACAACATGATCAATTTGATTTTTTGTTGCTTGATCAGGAGAGATCCAGGTGGCCTTGTGTATATCGAGATGCTTGAATCTGGTGCTGCTAACTACCATATTTTTTGCTGCCGCGAAGTCAATCAACCTCATGCCGTTGTCGGATGTTTCTTTATGAAGTCTGAATTTTCCGACGGTGGGGCCATAGATATTTTCCCTTCCGATTTTTGCATTAAAATCTCCTAGCAGAATTTTAATGTCATGGTCAGGGCAACGGTCACATGCTTTTTCTAGACGCTCGTAAAATATGTCTTTGGTCTGTTCATCTTTATATTCGGTCGGAGCATGGGCGCAATTGAGACTGATGTAGAAGAACGTCGCTTTTAAACGGATTATAGCGACTCGCTCATCTACTGCAGTGAATCTGGAGATGAGCTCTTTTATTCTCCTGTTAACCATGTCTTGTTTCATGGCAGCTATAATACAGCGCGTAATCGTCTGTTTTACTTACGCCTGTCCCTTTCCATCGCCTGTCCTTTTGTACTTCTTGAGAATATCCGCCAAAGCGAACACTGCGCCTGTTCTGTACAACGTGCGCACATTCCAAGTGCAGATTCGCAGATCGTGGTCCTTTATACGTTTGCTTTTTCATAGTATGTTGGGTTTTCCGAGAGTGGGCAACTAACTCGTCGTCTCAACCCATTTTTTATAGTTCTTATGGGTGAACTCGCGGCACATATTAGCTCACTATTTCATCGGGTGATGACAATAGCTCCCCAGGTGGCACCGCGGGGAGGTCAGTGTCCACAATTGAAATGAAAGAGGGACCAAGATAAGCCTGGGCTTCGCCATGTTAAAGCCAATCAGAGCCGTTGCTTGGTATCTATCATCCCCTACGCCATTTTTATATTTTTAATATAAAAAATTCGTACACTTTTGCATGTATAATCAGCAAATCAAAATATTAAGCGATTTTTAATATTTTGTCCACAATACTTGCCCTTTTTACACATTGAATGCGTTTGGATATCCTCTCTACCAAAATATTTGATGATTTCGCCTGGGATTTTGCTTCATTCCTCTTGTGCTCTTTGCCCGAGTTCATCCATGTTCGTTGGTGTTCGGGTTTGCGCAAATCATTCGAACAATTAAAATTTTTGGTTAGACAACCAATTTCCAACAATTTTATATGTTTGCTTAGGATCTAAATATTTAGAAATCAGTGATCAGTGCAGTATAGTTGGACGGGGCCCACCATGGAACTCTAACATTCTGTGAAAAATTTCACGATATTTGCAACCTACTGAACGATTAAAGGCCAACAGCTCCTCTTATTGGTATCAATTTAAAGGTCAACAACTCCTCATGGATATACTATCAATTTCTCGGATCTTTGTCCTTCAGGAGAAGAATACAAATTTTGTAATTTTTCACACAAAAGTCCAGGTCCATTATACCGATCTTCAATAACCAAACTTATTTTTCTCAGTTATTAGTCACAAATGAATTATAAATGTTTATTTTAATAAAAGTCTCAAGCATATTTTCAAAAGTACTCACAAAGTCGATATCTAACCAAAATTATATAAACAAAATAACCTTACATTTTAAATCGACACTTGCAAAGTAAAATAAACCAATACGAACAAAAGTGTTCGAGCTGCCATTTGTTGTGATTGTTCACCATAACCACAATTCAACAAACACTAAATTAAAACATTCATTTTTTGTGTTGAAATAGCTAGAAACATTTTAATTAACGTTTGATTAGAAAATGTACCAACATTCAAACACTTTTGCCCGCCACTATATATCCAACATATGCCATAGGCTGTGGTTATATATCTGTCGGTATAAGCTGTGTCTGTTCACTCGATATTTGCTAATAATTGTTACAGAATCTTACTGGATGTTATCTGTTTACTCCAAAGTCCAGTAAAAGAGAGAGCTAGTTTGATTAGAAAATGTACCAACATTCAAACACTTTTGCCCGCCACTATATATCCAACATATGCCATAGGCTGTGGTTATATATCTGTCGGTATAAGCTGTGTCTGTTCACTCGATATTTGCTAATAATTGTTACCAAATCTTACTGGATGTTGTCTGTTTACTCCAAAGTCCAGTAAAAAAGAGAGCTAGTTTGACAGTACTGCGCTGAGAACTTACTTAATGTTACTGGGTAAATTTCTTCCAGTAGGATTTATCTAGCACAATTCGATGTATTTCAATCAGTCGTTAATTTTTAATTTTGATCAAATGTAAAAAATAAACATTTTTATTTGATGAATTTTATTCCGTAATAAGTCTAAAAAGTCCCATTTCAAGCATTATAAGTGAAATTTCGTGATATTTTGAAAAATCTTACCAAATGTTTTCTGTTTATGTTTCTGAGTATTATTGCAAAAGAGAATAAAAACGACTTAATCTCTGAAATATAACTTACTGAGTAAATATTACTGGAAAAGTAACCAGACACAGCTATAATTAGTTGTATTTTATGCTTTTCTTTTAATTGGCAATTACCAACACGTTTTTTTATTTATTTATATAAATGTACACAAAATAACACCTTACATCGGAATACTCTTAATGTTACATATTTAAAAAGTAACTCTTCAAAGAACGCGATATACTTTCGGCCGTATACAATTTCAAACATATTTTCCATGATTGTTGTTGTGCCGCATTCTCGATGATCTTATCCTTGTCGTCGTTTAACACCGTGCTTAGATTGAAGATACTTTCGGACGATGAAGCATCCTCGGCATTTCGCCGCGATTTCGTCGAATAGACACCATTGTCATAGTCATTGGTTTCATCTGTGTGTGATATTTCATTTTGAGCAATATTGAGGTCATCATCGATGTTCGTCGATTCAGTGGCGATACTGTCCACGCCTTCCGTTGTAGTTGCAAGAGACGCAGATTCTCCAGTGCTAACAATACTTTCGTATATTTCGGCCAATAGTATAAAGGGATATTCATAATATGAACGATCGGGATAGTTTGTCACCAAATAGTTTCCCAAGCACTTGCCAAAGAGAACCTCTGGAAGGTAGCGATTGTACAGCGTATAGATGTGCACAACCAATGCACGTAGCTGGCTGAGCCACATTTTCAGAGCACCAATGATGTCATTGACAAAGTTCGCTGCATTTTTACTGGAAATGTATAGAAAATCGATTAATGTTATTTGAATTTCTAATTGAATACAAATTATTCGCATAGGTACTTACAATTGTTGCAGTTGCTTTATGTGATCGGTCTTTAAGCTTTGTTCAAATGTCATTGAAATTTCACGCACACCCACCAGAACATGGCGCAATCCAGTTAGCAAAGAGAATTTGGCATTTTCGCCAAATGTTCTATAGAAAAATAAAAGAAAGGAATTAGTCAATCGAGAAGGGACATTGCGTTGGCAATTGTATTTACTTATTTTTTGGATCGGACTTGATGTTGGGCAGCATTCGCTCCACAGTGCCGGCAAAGTTACCAATACCTCGGAAAAACCATTTAATATCATCTGCCAATGCGGGGTCGGCTAACGATCTGGAAAATCATTATATTAGTAATTCTATTCAACATTTTAAAATTAATAAAATACATACCTTTCTTGATTTCTGGCCGGAGTACAGTGGATATTATTGTAGAGATTTAGTAAAATAGCGAAAAATAAAACTTTGTGGAAAATGTAATTGCCCTTCATGTTGAATGCAGGGAATTCAAATTGAAACTAACGCTATGTGACAACATGCAAATGACATAAATATATACTTGACCCAGGTACAAATACGAATCGCAGCGATTTTATAATTACCTCTATGTCATTCCTTTAGGTAAAATAGGTACATTTTAGGTACCTTTCTCGAAATTACCAGGACAACACATCTGTATTAAATGATTTTTTTTATTGGAAATTTAGTGCTAAAAAGGTTATTTTCCCGAGAATTGTACAATCATTAAGAACATGTTAGGGTAATACTGTCGGTAGATTAGTGTTATTGGTTCTTGAAATCTTGTAGAACATTAATTTTAAAATAATAATTGTTGTTGCATTATGTAGTTAACGGTGTAACAGGTAGGTGCGCTAATCGAATCAATGAAATTTATCATAAAACTAAAGCAGCTGGTAATAAATAATAATTTTGATGGTCCAAATACACAAGGACCTTATTTGCATGTGTGTCAATTTAATACGGCAAGAATGGATGAAAAATACTTTTTAAAAAACAAAAAATCCAAAATATATTCCTTCAATGTTAAAAGCTTTTTTTATTTTGAAACGCAATGCTTATGTGGCTAACATTCATCAAAAATATACTTAACTTTAACTGTAGAAACCGGATGTAACGAACAACGGTTATAAGCAGGCGAACACGATTATAGTAAACACAGGATATAACGAACAACATTTTTTCAGATGACAATTTTTATTTTTACTCAATGCTGAAAAACATTTCGTTGGTATATATCATAGATAGACTAAAGCCTTAATTTGCATTAAAAAGTTGAATTAATATTTGCTCCTGACAGACGAGAGTTTCTGCATTTATGAACAAGTTTTTTTGTTTCAAAACTATTGTTTGTCTGTGTGGAGAAAGAAAATTTTCACATTTGTTTCCGATATTTTTTGGGATTACATCTTTATGGAATAGATACATGACCGAACAAACGAATAACAGCTATAATGGTATTAAAACAGCTCTCAATTTGAAAAAATGTGGAAATTTACCTTTATTTCTAATATTTATTTTCATAAACGTACACAAATTTGACAACAATCAATTTATTTTCTACAGCATTGTCATATTGGAATTGTTTAATTGTTTCTGCATTAGCAACACATAATTTGAATTAAGACTGTTAATGCAAATTAAGGATGTCTAGGCTATTCTATCTTAACCCTAAGGTCAATAACCAAAAAGTATACGTAGATCAATAACCGTGGTACATTTGTACCCATCCAAAGATAGCTCTGTAACTCTTAAAAAAATGGACTATCGTTAGGTTTTTTGTTTTAAATTAGTCTATATGACTCTGATCTAGATGTAGGAACTCAAAATTATATATACATTAAAATAATATATATTTAAATCCATGCTTAAATGATAATCTATCTAAAACAATCATAGTAAATTCGTTATAGCTTTCGAATGGGCGACTCGTTGAAATCAGAAACTACCGTGGTTTTCCTTTGGTATACAGGGACTAATAGTTCGGCTGGTAACCCATCGGCTCCTGCTGCTTTATTGTTCTTGAGTCGATTAATTGCATTTATGACCTCATCTGGCTAGGTGGTATACATTCTATACTAACATCTCTTATTGGTTCTGGGGTATCTTATTCAACGCCACTATTAGATACCAGAAGCATTTCCTCCTTCCAGATCTTCAACACGCTGTTTGTATCTGTCACCAGGTTTCCTTCTTCATCTCTACAGGAGGATGTGCCTTCGGTTTGGGGTTTGACATGGGGTTCTACATATTCTAATAGTGTTTAATGTTACCATTACTACTCTAGATGATAGCTATCCAATTTGGCATAAAGTTCCGGTTATGGTGAAGTGCGACAATCTATAGTTTTGAACCGATGATTTTTATAAGATGAAATGCACAAAAAAGTGTGATTTTTGTCTAGATGCCACTTATACAACCTATTTTATAGTTAAATTCCTCATCTAAATCTGCAGCTTTTATTCAAATATGTCTGTTTCATGGCAAAAAACTTCATTGAAAAAAATGCTAGATTTTGTTGAAAAAGATGCTAAAAAGTGCTAAAAATTTAGAAATGTGCCAGAAAAAAGTGCTAAAAATGAATATGAAGAATTTTGATTATAGTTTATATTTCACGAATAAACCAATAAATACGGGACATCTAGTCAACGAAAAAGCGTGGCTGCATTGATAATAATCTGTCAATATTTTTTAATTGAATGAACCAAGACTAGCAAGACATTTAAACAAATTATTCCATAACATTTTTTTACTGTCAAGAGAGGTAAAGCTGCCCTTTAAATTTATTTAAATTATATTGATTTGTATACACTAAGATGAAAAAATGTCATTTCGTTTGCAAAACCTCGAAATATTCCCCGGAGACACCACAAAGTATATAAATGTTATGTCGATTTACGCAAATCCGTCAGTCCGTCGTGCGTTGCGCATACATTGTTAGTACTCCTAGGGGGTACCCATATAACGGTACCCCCAATATTCGGTGTTTTGGGCATTTTTGACACATTTTCCAATCAACTGGCTCTAATTTTGTATTTTGATTCTCATTGAATGACACATATCCGTGCCAAAAATTAGTAATATTGACCCAAGTTTCAGGTTATCCCACCATATAACGGTACCCCCGTTATATTTTTCTAATGTATTTGTTTTTTTTTTTTTTTTTTTCTTTTTTTCAGGGTTCCATTATTTTAGATATTTAGGTTGTCATCCTCATGGTGGAGGTTATCAAAAGTTCTACCGAGCCGAACTTAACATCGTTTTTTAGTTATTATATTCTAATATTGTAGTATTATTATATATAACACCAGAAAGTGGATATCTCGCAGAACTTTTACCACACGGCAATTAGTTTCGCAGAAAATGTATGGATAGCCCCGCCCGACTATACTGCTCCACTCGCTAGAAAAATACATTGGAAAATCAAATCCAATATGGGAAACTTCAATGTGTCAATGTAAAATCGAAAAACGATAATTTTTTGGAGTGATACTAAAAATTTTGAAAAAATCCTAGAACAAAAAAAAAAAAGCTAAAAAAAAGTGCTAGGTGCTAGATCAATTTTGTTGGTGCTAAACGAGTTTAAAAAGTGCTAAATCTAGCACTAAAAGTGCTAAATTGGCAACACTGGCTATAATACAGGGCGTAATCGTCTGATTTACTTTCGCCTGTCCCTTTCCATCGCATTTCCTGTAAGGCAATAATATCGGCTTTGTACTTCTTGAGTACATCCGCCAAAGCGAACAATGCGCCTGTTCTGTACAACGTGCGCACTTTTCAAGTGCAGATTCGCAGATTGTGGTCCTTTATACGTTTGCGGGGGTCGTCAACATTAGGGGGGTTTGGTTTTCTTTTTCTTTGCTTTTTCTTAGTAGGTTGGGTTTTCCGAGAGTGGGCAAATAACCCGACGCCTCAACCCATATATTAGCTCACTATTTCATCGGGTGATGAGAATAGTTCCCCAGGTGGCACCGCGGGGAGGTCAGTGTCCACAATTGAGATGAAAGAGGGACTAAGATAAGCCTGGACTTCGCCATGTTAAAGCCAATCAGAGCCGTTGCTTGGTATCTATCATACCCTACGGCACCCAATTAACGGATGTCCAATTGAAACTTGCTATAAATCGATTTTTATAACACTGCGCGACAAATTTGAATTTTTTTGATAATTATCGGGAAATTCCAACAGATTATGAAAGTTTATGGGGCTAAAAAGGGAGGCCAATATTCCCCCTTTTCAAGAATTTTGATAATTATGATTATGATTTCTTGAAATCCTTGCATTTTAGGTATATAGTGTGTCGTTTTTATTGGGGAATATTTTGGTATGCAATTTTAACCCTCAACCGACTCATTAAAGGGGTCTTTTCCAGAAGTGATTGAAAACTCATTTAAAACGGGGTTAAAGCTGCTATTCTACAGAAATGTTCGCCATAAAGTTTTACTATAAGTCTCAGAATAGACTAAAACTCAAAAACCAGCCTAAACGTCAAAAATCTTAAAAAACAAAAACTCATTTTAGGGTTAATATCGTACTTATTACTAGTTTTTACCTATTTTTCCCACAAGATGTCGTTTTAGAAAGATAGTATCAGTCACTGAACAAGATAAATCTGCATATATAATGTATATACCGAATATATAGTCATACATTTTGAACCAAAAATTCAAAATGTTATTATATTTTTTTCAAAGACATTTCCCAGTATTTTTTTTCGACAAAGTGCATTAAAGTAACATTAAACTTAATTTTAGGTACATAAATTTTTTTTGCAGACTTCAGTTAATTTTATACTGTAAATTTCTTAAAAACTATTGAATATAAATATATTGTTTGTTCTGAGACTTGAAGTGGATATTGACGTAGAATATTTTATTCTTTGACATTATATACCTAAAATTAAGTTTCATGTTACTTCAATGCACTTTGTCGAAAAAAATACTGGGAAATGTCTTTGAAAAAAATATAAGAACATTTTGAATTTTTGGCCCCGTCCGACTTTACTACTTTCCTTACTGGTTTAAGTTTATGACAATGTTACCCAGGTTATTGTGTGCACGATGGTGCGAAATGAAAAAAGTCATATTTTGTCTTCCTTAAATATGGGATGAGTAAATGATTAAGTTTAAAAAAAATTTATTACTTTAATATACATCATTTGTACGAACGTTAAATTTTTATATGATTAATAGAAAATATATGGAAAGACATTACTAATGATGAAAGTGTATTAACACAAAAATACGTGGCTTTGCATTTGATTTTTCAGCTACTTTTTACTCGACATGGGGTAGAAAAAAGAAAAAAAATCTTTCAGTTAATGCTGTGGTTATCGGTATTGCTGTTAAAATTTGTAACAATATATTTATATTTGCTAATCGATTTTCGTCACATACTAAAATCGAATCCAGTGGGTTAGATGCGGATCCACTCCACTATTTTTCATAAAATTGTATGATTTCTTTAAAATCTTAACAATTAAATTCGCGATAATGTTTTAATTATTTTTTTTTTATTTTCCAGATATTTTATTGTTATATTTAAAATTAGTTATTTCAAACATGTTACAAATAATGTAATTCTATACAATATTCGAAGCTCGAACTCATTACATTTGACCTGAAACTTCTACTTCTTAGAATCTTACCATTTCCCCCTATTATTTCCAACGATGCGACTATCTCTTCTATATTTGTACGCAATCATGCAATATATCGTGTTTCACAATATGAATGTAATCATTTGAAAGATTTATTTGCTTCTCGAAATATTCTTTATAAAGTAGCAGACCTTTTTGGATTTTCTAAAGAACGGGCAATTTTTCAAAATTGTAAAGAATACACTTCAGTCGCATTTAAACTTGATTTTAAAATATAAAAGTAATTTTGATTGAATAATGGTCTGTACTCCATATAATTGCCAGACATGGTAGACGCGCCGTCATATCCTTGACATCTCAAAAATGGTTTTAGATACATTGTCAAAAATCTTATACATAGTTTCATTCGCTAAAACCGATAAGAATACAAAATTTTCACTTCTTCAACAATAGACTTCTTCTATTAACTTGTTATGTATTCTGGGTGTACTCTGTACAGTATTCAGGAGGCTTTACTTCCCCTCAAGGTGATGTCTTCCCTTTCACACAATAAGTTTATCTCCATGGACACTTTAACATTATACTTTTGTTCTTTCAACATATCTGAAGCTTGTTTTCCGTAACATGTTCCATACGTTTTGAAACATCTTTCATTCTCGATATAAAGTCCTGAGTCCTCATTATCGCATCTTTGTGGTATTCCTTTTTTTCGTGGTCGGTGAAGCATTCAAGAGCATCTTTTCAATTTGTAAGAGGATGCGACAGAGGTAATTTTGGGACTTGGTGTTTGCCTCTTCCGCAACCTCATTTATTTGAAAATAAGATGAGTTTACAAAAATCACCATTTGCTAAATCTTAATATGCGATACAAGAAACTTGAGACCGGATATAATTAAAATTTTACAAGAAACCCGGGGCCGGACAAGGTCGGGTATAATTAAAAGTTTACAAAAAAACACATTTTGTAAAACTGAATATGCGATACAAGAAACCCGCGCCGGGTATAATTAAAATAAAAAACGACTTTTATTCGAAAAATTTCCACATATAACAATCAAAATATGAAGATATTTTTATATTTATCCACAAGTTATGCTCTTCTTTACACCCTTTAACCCTTTGAGCCCCGAATTTTTTCCGCAATCTTAGAACAATTTTCTGTTCAGAGATTTAATGCAACTATCCTAAATTGGATATAAACAAAATTTGACATCCCCACATCCTTGCATTCGGGAGATACAATACATTCTTTCGAAAAAAATAAAGTCCAATATCGAGAAAACATTACCAAAACAAACCAAAAACATTACCAAAATTTTTTTGTCAGGTCCTGACATATTAAATTCAAATAATATATGTATATCTACTAGCTGCATATTAAATATAAGCTCTAAAACGTTCATGGCTTGAGTCATCTGGACTGTTTTGTGCTAAGCGGTCGCGTTGGTCGACGAGGCGGGCTTCAACAGTGTGATATTCGGTTCTACACTGCGGAATTCTTCCAGCGAAGATAAAGCGCTTGACCGACCTGGCTATAGACACAGACTATCTCCAGCGTGCTTTCTTCTGATTGCACAGAGATAGTCAATATCTCAAGATATTGATCTAGATCTTGAGACGAGGGGTGGACTAGCTGATAATTAACATTTCATGAACGCTTAGCCTCCACTATGACCGCGCTGCCTGTCCTTTCTAACGAGGACGTAGTTCGCCTGGGAGCTATTAGGATGTTATGCACTTGCATGAAATGGTGATCGCCACATGGGAACGGTTGTTGTATTTATTTGACATTTTTTCAACACATAACTAAAAAGCCATAACCATGAAATGTTTGTTTCATCAATAGCAATGTAATTAAGAACGCCTAAATTCCATCATATTACAATAAATAAAAAAAAAAAACAAATGTTACCATTGAAAAATCAATTTTCATTTTTATTCAACTTAACTAAATATTGTAGATAACCCGAATAAAAATATAAACTGGCAATTCTCCTACAAAGATATCGACAATTTAACTAAACAGGGGCTTACTTATTAACTTACAAACAATTAATAATTAATGGTGGCAAATTCATTTAATTTTATAGACTTATATTCCATATGGAATTCATACGGTGATTACGTCGAAACTTTAATACGACTTAAATGAGCAAAGTTAGGAACCACTTCCGCTACCCATTCTGGCGAAATTTCTGTTACTTGTCGTAGGAAGTTTCTCTCTGTTAAGACAATTTCGGAGAATATTATATATTCTGGTCTATACTTTCCATGGAAAACACTTGAGGGATGAATTTTGGCACGTTGACGACCGGTTATGGTCAAGTAAAAGTTATCCCGTTGTAACTCGGCTATATTGTCGAATAGACCAACTAAAAGACACTTTCGAAGTTGATCGAAATTGTTCCCGCAGCTATTCACTTGTAAGTCCAAACGTTCAACAATCTCCAGTAGTTGCTTACGTACGTCGCGGGCGTATGATAGATTACGTGTGTTCAGGAAGTTGTCATGGCACCATAACTGCAATTTAAAAAGACAGTGGTAGAATGAATTATTTTTCATGAAGATCTTAATATGTTCTTACCTTAATCTTTTCAGTCTTTTGGAAGGCACTAAACACATTTAGTAGTGTTAAATGATCGCCGTGTTTTGAGTGAAATTTCGCATGAGCCAGTGCGGCTTGTTCACGTTTCTCAACACTCGAGACAAATATATTCTCACTTGAGAGAACCGATACTAAGCTAAGCATTTCTTCCATGCACCCGAACTGAGGTGCTGCCAACAACAACTTACTATATTGAGGATCAAGAGGGAATTTGGACATCTGCCTTCCCAGTGGTGTTAATTCTGGTTTTGTAGATACATTTTGCACTGCTCCTAAGGACTCAAGTTTTTTATAAGCAGCTTCCAAGGCCTCTGCTGGAGGTTTATCGAGGAAATCAAAACGTTTACAATCGATGCCCAATGCCAGCAATTGTAATACGGTGGAACATATATTGCTGCGTAAAATTTCGGGTGTTGGCATCTTTTCAAAACTTTTCATCTCTTGTTGGGTATAGGTACGATAGCATGTGCCCGGCGCATCACGCCCAGCACGACCACATCGTTGCCAAGCTTGGGCCTGAGAAATTCTGACTACTCTGAGCACATCCAATCCCGTGCTTGGACTATAAATGCGACGTTTCACAAAGCCAGCATCTATTACACACCGGATACCTGGTATAGTGACAGATGTTTCAGCGATGTTTGTAGCTAAAACAATTTTTCGCGCATTAGCTGGTGCAGGCAAAAAACATTCCAACTGCTTATTTTGCGGGAGTTGAGCATAAAGTGGAAATACACGCACACCTGCAATTGTGCTGAGATTTGTCTGCAATTACAAAAAAAAGATATAATAAAACGAATATATTTTTTATGTTTTATAAAATTAGGTGCTGGCATGTTAAAAATAAAAAAGTCAATAAATTTGATCTACATTTTGATTCTGTCCATTTTTTCGAGACACTTATGTCATATTTGCGTCTCTAATAATACTTGAACATATTACAATTTCCCTGTGGATATTATGTCAGACAGATTGATAGAATTTAGTAGTTGAATTATGTTGTCTTGGCAACTTTTGTCGACATTGTCTTCTTGGAGAAAATATGTATGTCGACCCATTATGCCATGGGGCATTTTATAATTTTTCGTGTAAAACTGCATGGTGTTTGGATCATAAATATAGTGTGTAGAGCGCTTAGTAACGTAGGCAACCTTTTTTGCTATTGGACGTTACTATTATGGAGCACATGTTTTGGATTAGAAGGATATTTCGTCCATATAATTCGATTTCTCGTGTGTCATTTCGAAGACCGTTACAATATAAGTTTTTACTTGCAAATATTCTACAGAAATGTCGCTCAGAAAATTTGAAATTTCCTTCAATTCCAAACTATAAATAACTTAGGATTTATACCATATTCCTATAGCTTTCCTACAACAATAATTTTGCTACCTACCTTGGCGATTTGTCTTATCTGCTGGGCCATTGCTTCTATTTCTTCCTGGCCAGTCAAGAAGATCAGGACATCATGACTACAAGAAATAAAATGTAAAATGAAATCATATTTCCAAACGTTACTTTGTCACACTTACTTCGCAGGCGTATTACGATGGATTTCAAATAAAGTAACCAACGTGGCATGTAAATAATCAGATTGACTTTCCTTGGCATGCATTACTCGGACCGGGTGAGTTCGACCTTCCAAATACATCCCCTTCACACCAAAATAACGACCAAAATGGTCGATATCCATTGTTGCAGAAGTAACAATTACCTTAAGCGGAACTAAATTCCATACTCGACGTTTGCGCTGCGCCTCTTTCACAACACCGAAGAGTACATCTGTACTCACTGTCCGTTCGTGTGCTTCGTCAAGCATAATAACGCTGTAGTTGCGCAGCAAACTATCGGCTAGGGCTTCACGCAGTAAAAAGCCATCGGTCATGAATCGGATACGGGTCTTTGGTGACGTGCAATCCTCAAAACGCACTGTGTACCCCACAAGTTCGCCCAGCTGGCAGTGTTGTTCTTGAGCAACACGTTTTGCAACGGTAATAGCAGCTACCCGACGTGGTTGGGTCACTGCTATGACACCCTTTTTACCGAATCCCGCTCCAAGTAAAAACTGTGGAATTTGTGTAGTTTTGCCTGAACCAGTTTCACCCATTATCAGCAGTGTGTCCGATTTGTGAATTTCCTCTATTAACCGTTTCCTACAGCCCGTAACAGGCAACGCCTGGCGTTGCTGTTCCAATTGCATTTTAGATGGTTTTGATGACGTCGCTGCATTCTGTTGTTGGCCATTTGTTTTGTTATTGGCCACTGCAGGTCCCACCACGCCATTTGATTTAAAAATCTTGCCATTGCCGTTTTCCCCTCCGGGACTTTGTAGTTTTCTTTTCAGTGGTATTATTCCATTTCTAATATTAGAACCAATTGTCTTCAAGGGCGATTTGCTTGGTAGGGTGTATTTCGACTCCATTACAACGAAATGGAGTTAGCTGCGTTTAGGATAAAGACTATTTGGGATTTACGAAATGAAACACACGTGAAGAAGCACCGAATTGTAAATTTAAACAAAAGGTTCGACAACAATTGTCAAAGATGTCAACTAAAAACAGCTGTTGAACAGGGTGACATTGTAACAGATATGAAAGCGATACAGTTACTCCGTGAAGTATCGTACTGTATACATTTCGTATAGTTAGATGTACAGTGCGTAGCTTACACACGTCAGATGTAAAAGTAGCATAATAGAACATTTAACCCTTTGTGGTTCGATGTTGCCATAGGCAACAAAATGTTTTGGATTTCAAATGCTACCTAACCTAATTAAGAGCGACACACACAATGCAGAATTGACAGAAACCCCGTTTTAAATTACCCTCTATATTCTTTTTTACAAGAATCAAAAATAATTATGATGGCAGAATTCGTAAAATTCAAATACGAAGCGATTTAAATAAAAATTTGATTTTTTTAGATTAAATATAAGCTCTAAAACATGTTGTTGTCTGTGGGCAACAGTGGGCCATAAGGGCCCACTGTGTACAGCACCAATTTGTATTTGTATACAGTTTTCTTGATATTGGACTTTTATTTTTTAGAATAGTTGCATTACGTCGGTGCACAGAAAATAGTTTTATGATCAAGGAACAAATTTAAGTCTCAAAGAGTTAAATTGTATTGGATAGATGGTGAAATTATTTAAAAAGGTTGGTCATATCTACTAACCGATTAAAATTTTTTCTTAAGGTGGCTTGTTATATCAAATCAAAATCCATACAGTCTTTTCTCTAAGTCTATCGAAAGTCTATTCGAAGGTACTGTAGTCATTCCGATTCAAATTAGATTGGAGTTCTGTAGTAAATGAAATTTGAAAATGTACAAAATTTAACTTATATATTAGCTATGGCTGGATACTTTTCCAGTAACAGTTACTCAGTAAGTTATATTTCAGAGAGTAAGCCGTTTTTATTCTCATTTGCAATAATACTGAGGAAAGTAAACAGACAACATTCAGTAAGATGTTGCAAAATATCAACGATATTTCTGAGAAGAAGACGAATATTTTTGCCAACCTTTCAAGATGCTAGTAAATTCATTTTTACGCAGATTTTACTAGATAAAATTGGATGAGCAATACCAAAGTTGGGATTATTTTAAGAATTTGCGGCATATGAAAAAAATTAATTATTCGAAAGAAGACAAAAAGTTGAGTATTGAAAAATGTTCCTGTCAGTAAAAATCTTAAAATGGTGCCTGCTTGTACAGTTTTTAACTAATTTGAATCAAAAAAAGAATTCATTCGACACGAAATTAAATTTTCTGTTATTTGAAGTAAAATGAATAAAATAAGCAATTTTTTTTACTTACTTTTTGTTTACAAAAATACAAATTAAAAAGGCTTTTTGGCCATAACTTCTGATTTTAAGGGTGTATTGAAAATTCTAAAGATACAGTTTTATTCAGCTCTTTAAGGTACACAAGATGTACTAGGTCTCTATATAAGTTGCGACAATTTTTGTCGATTTGTACCATAGTGTGATTTATAAATGTGTGCTAAAATTTTGAATTGTATTATTTTTAGTAAATTTTAAGGAAATAGTTTATGAAAACATATGTAGGGGACTTCTGGCATAACAGAGACATGTTAAGAATAAAAACGCCCACCAACGAAAATCTGTGTACAAAATATAAATAGAATCAAAGTTCTGGACTCAAAATTATATTCCATATATGTTTCCATTTTATATAATTGCGATATAGACATATATTGACAATCGCCCACGTATGGTTTGTCGTATCTTTAAGCTTATCAAAAAATCGATTTTCCAGTTTTAGGTTTTCAATTTACTCACACCTTATATGTTACAGGGGAACTTCTAGAGCTTCCCAATCAGGGTGAGTATGAGATATTCATACCGAACAATTCTGCATCATTAACTCAAAAATCCCCATTTATAATTTATGCCTGTCCTGCAGCAAATGAGCGATATGTCTTTGCTGAACTTCAGTATAAGGATCTCAATTTGTGTGTTGAAGTAAAACAATGACTTGGTTTTGAAATTCGTATTATTAATGTAAAAAATGACTAATTAATATGAAATTCGGGCCATTCTTTTCGATAGAGCGAATATAAGTTGAATTTTTAAAATTACTATTACTGTAAGTTTGAAACAGAAACCATTTAAATTTGCTATGTGGTGGAAAAAGTTCGATTTTCCAAAAAGATAATTCCACAGCCAATCCACTCTGATTATTTTTGTGCGAAATATATTTTTTTTTGGGTTTCCCATGTTTCAGAGAGGGAAAATCAAGCCAGCCAACGAGAAGAATCGTAATTTTCCCTACAAAGGGTCAATATGGTACATTTCTGAAAATGAGATATGAAATGTATTATCATAAATCAGATATATAGAATAGAAATTAATGACGTCCCCCGGCATCTGTCAATTCCCACACAATGGTTAACTATTCTATTAAATGTTATGATTAGTGTAAGATTATAAATAAACTAGCATAGGCCCGCTACGTTGTTAGCGAAACTTTTTATAGTTAAATAAATAAACATTATTTTAGCTACGCAATATACTTTTGGATTAAGTACAAATTTGAAACATTTTTATTATAGGTTTTATATCTTAATATGTTTGTTTTAATCTCAGATCTTACTCCGTATTTCTTTCGTACAGAAACGTTAATGCTTCTATCCTACTAAATCGAGTACAAGTTCTGTAAGTTTACTATTTTCTCGATCGTCCCGATGGACTGATGTAAAAAGTTCTATAATACTGTGTTAACCTTTTTTGTTCGTTCCGGTAATTTAATACTAATGGTAAAATATCTAGTTCGTTTTAGTACAGATAGTAGTACCCTTATAGTACAAATTACAATTTTGCACAGCGCATCATTTTTTATTCAGAGACCTGCCTTTATAGTGAAGATTTCCATTAAAATTTGCAGAAATTTAGTATTTCTGGTGCGTTACGTATTACAAAATACTCAATGGTATTGTCGGTATTTTTATCTTTCTCCAACATTTTCTATTTAGTACTTTTTACTAAAAATTAAAAAAAAATACTTTTTTAATTTGTTTAAACAAAATATACATACAAAATTTCAGGACTCTACCTCTACTCGTTCTGTCGTATAAAATATTTAGTACTTTAAGTACAAATGTCAAACAATATTGCCAAAAGCATTGTTTTTATATCCACCCGTACCGCCGTATACAATGTGTTGTACTTTTTAGTACATTTTAGAAGTTATTAATGCAAAATTTTTATGTATAAATTGTTATTGTCATAATTCCAGATAATTATTTAATAACAGGTTCCTATCTTCATCCATTCTACCGTATACAATATTTAGTACTTGTATTCGATTCGTATTCTATTTGTTTATAATATACAAAAAATGTTCCCATACTGTGCAATATTTTGTATTAATGATGCCATTTAGTACGAATTCTCAATAAACCAAGCCTGTTAATTATAGATGGACATTTTTGTACTCTAAATTTACATTTATATTTTTTACCATTCACTATGGTACAATATTTAGTACAATTTTGTGCATATCGGTCTATTTGTAATAGTTAAGCTACATACTAAATTTCAGATCTCAATCTATGACTTTTCCATTATAAGTTAATATTTTGTACCATTTTAGTACAAATTTCAAAAATATATTAATATATAGCATAGTATTTGTAATAATTAAATCTATGTGCCGTGTTTCAGATTTCTATTCCTACCGGTTCCATTATACTACAGTATTTAGTACTAATTCCAAAAAGTTATGCTTAGAGTAAGCTACATACAAAATTACAAATTTCTATTTCTACCAGTTACATTGTATTTACATATTTAGTACTTTTTATCGCAACATTAGTGCTAAATTCAAAAAAAAAAAAAATGGCATAGTATTCTATTTGTAATAGTTACAGCTATATGTGAAATTTCAGAACTTTTTAATATATTCTAGTACTAATTTAAAAAAAAAATATGTTTGCCCATCATTCTACTTGTAATAGCTTAAGTTACATACCAAATTTCAGATATCTATCCCTACCTGTTTCATCGTAGTATAATATTTAGTACTAATTTGCAAAATTTGTTCACACATTCTGATTTGTTTATAAATGACAAAGCTGCATACCAAATTTTAGAGTTGTAGTTCCAACCGTTCTGGCGTAATACAGTTTTTAGTACTATTTAGTACCATATTTGTTCTAATTTCCAAAAAATATTTTTTGTACATCATTTTATTTTTAATGACTTAAGCTACATACCAAATTTCAGACATCTATCTCTACATTTTCCATCGTAGTATAATATTTAGTACATTTTAGTACCTTTAGTACTAATTTCCATAATTTGTTCACAAATTCTGATTTGCTAATCATTGACAAAGCTGCATACCAAATTTCAGAGTTCTACTTCCAACTGTTCCGGAGTACTACAGTTTTAGTACTTTTTAGTACCTTTTAGTACTAATGTCCAAAAAATATTTTTGCACAGTATTCTCTTTGTAATGGCTTAAGCTCCATACCACGTTTCAGTTATGAATCTTCACCAATTCCATTCAAATACAATATTTAGTACTTTTTAGTACATCTAAGTACTAAATTCCAAATTTTTTTTCACAAATTCTAGTCCGCTCGCCATAGACAAAGCTACGTGCCAAATTTCAAAGTTCTACATCTAACCGTTCCCGCGTAATACAGTTTTTAGTACTTTTTAGTACCTTTTAGTACGAATTTCCAAAAACCCCGCCTTATCACACGCCTACTCACCAAACCCCACCTACATGCCAAATTTCAAGCTTCTAGCTTTAGCCGTTTCGTCTGGGCGTTGATGATCAGTCAGTCACTTATAACGCAACTCTTTTATATATATAGATATAAAGCTTAAATTGTGTGCGATATTAGTCGTTAGATATCCATGAAACAAAAATTGCAAATTTGAAAATGTTGATATATTTTGGAAGTTTATACATTTTTAGTAGTAACATATTAATCTGTTGATATTCTACATAAAAAACGCTATACATAATAAAACCTGTCATTTGTAAGGTAAAATTGCCATGTCAAATATGGTTTCGCGAACAACAAATCCAAACTATATCTTTTAGTTACATTAACTTCCAATACTAATTGTGAAATAATAATAATGCTGAACCACTGTGAAATTAACTATCCTTTATTTTAAGGACAATCCTTATTTAATTAATCAACCACATGAAAATGTAAAAATGGACATAAAATATATTTATCACAAACATAATGTATGTATGTATGTATGTATGTAGGTGAGAACATAAATTCCCATGTACAAGATTAAAATTCCATGGATAAATAAATACGAATCCTTGAAATACACAAGAGCGATTAATTTTCTCCAATGGGACAATTTCATTCACTCTTCTGCAAAATTTTAGCACCAAATGCCACCATCACTCTCTCAGAAACATTAACGATAGTGACTACAATATTCCTGAGTGGTGTACTTATCGCAAATGCTGTTCTTTATAAATTGAGAATAGTTGGCGAAAAGGTGTTATTTGTTCATACATTGCTGCTGAACTACTACCAGTAAGCAGCAACAACACCGCCAACAGTTTTCATACGCTCACGCCGACCGTATATGTTATTCATTCATAAACACACGCCTTATGGCTACTGGGACGTGAGTATTTTGTTGGCCACTTAGCACTTCTCCATATCGGCGAAAACACTTTTCAGTCAGTTGCTTGCGAGAACTTTAACCAAACGGACGAGCTTTTAGCGTAAAGGCGAAGTGCAGCGCGCGTGTTTACTTTTGTTTATATCCAGACAGAAGGAGACCAATTGTTTGCCATCATTGCCATCAATAATCGGCAATTTGTTTATTTTTATAAAATTTCTATTTCTATAGAAAATACTTATCGAGTCCATGCGTAAATTTCGATTAGAAAAGACGGCAAACGAAACCCCAGCTAAAATACTCGCGAAAAGAATCAATATTTTGTGTTATGCCACATTGATAAGATTACACTTTCGTATCCATAGCTGGTTGATTGAAAATACCAACAACATTACTGCTCCACGATCAGTTTCGCATTGTGGCCGTGATCGTGTCTTATCTATCGGACAGCTTAGAGAATTTCGTCACTGTCCAGTACTCGGTTTTGTTAGAATTAATGGGTGGCAGCGGTGTGAAAAATGTTAAATGGTATTGATGCCACCACAATCACAGATACGTCACGGGCTATCTTATATTTTGTGGAAGTTTGTATGCCACCGAAATCGAAATCTGCATAAGAGTCCGTCATCTACTGCAAAAGAAAATTACTTTCTACGATCAATGATTTTCCCAATAATCTGTGCATTACTCATTGCTGGCAAACGAACGACGATAGCCGTAACAGTCACTGATGCCTTCGATCTCACAACTGTGCCTCTATGCTGTCCAAGTGCCGACTGGAAGTTGGCGCGGATCACAGCTGATGTGCAAGAATCCCCGAAATATGTATGTCTTCCCCAGGCATACGATACAAACGCAACACAATCGCCGGCGGGCCCAAAAGAAGGCAGTTTTCTTTTCGAAAATTCTTCTCCCGTTTACGGCCTGGGAATTCGATTGGCCGAGGACCATATGACAAATTCCAGTATTCCCGAATGTGATAATCAGATCCTTAACCGATTTGCAAGGAATGACGAAGTGGAGATCGCCTCAGATGCCTGCGTGATGGGTGTGCAGGATGAACTGGTGACCGTGTCATGCCCGCAAGAGGACCCGAAATGGCGACCCATAACATTTGCCCAGAAATGCTGCCCCAACAATTTCATTTACGATGGCGGCCAACGTAAATGCGTGCAGAGTTCAGATGCTCCGAACTTCCAACTGTATCAGGAATTTTTCCAAACGGCAGTTGTTTTCAATGACAACGCCATTGAATGTCCCCGGAACAAGGTGCTTGTCGAATATAAACTCACACAATATAAGTTTACGATCAGTAACGGAAGCATACACCTTCGGACGTTGAATAAAAAATTTGGCCCGTCTCAGTATTGTGTTGAGGCCATCGACAACGTCCCCTATGAAACCGAGCAAGAGTTTTTGGTTCGAACCTGCGACGATATATCATCTGCGTGTCGACGAATGCCCTGCATCAGACGTTGTTGCAATGACGGCGAAATGTTCACCAAGGGCAATGCAACATCGTACTGCAAACGAGATGAGTCGGATACAACGTTTCACAGTTTTGAAAGTCTTGATATCAGTGGAAACTTCAGTAAACCACCAGGTGAGTAGAAACAACGTCAACTTTTCATTTTGTCCCTTATTATTTTCTTTGTTATAATTTTTTGTTGCCAAAATTATAAGAAAACAATTCTATAAATTGTATTCTTAAAAATGATTTAACAACGAATTGAAAAGAATGCTTGGTAATAATTGTTTATCGTTCAGATTATTTGTTTACTCTAGAGACCAAAACAAACACCACATGAGCCATCGCTTAACGTGAGCAGATCAACACATATGAAAATATTGTGTTCGTTAGTTCCGAAACATCTTCTGGCAAAACAAATTAAAAAACATCGTTTCTATACAACATGTTTAGACCGAACCCCACTAGCTTGTATATGATGGAAATGTTGTAAAATAGGGAATAACTTGTCATCGCTACTAGGATGCAAACGTTTTCGACAACTAGATACAATTTAGTTGTTTACAAGTAAATATGACATAATAACACATTACAGTAGAGTTCTGTTTTTCATAATATCATAAACTTGATCTAACTTTTTTTATTATGCAATGGTCGAATCAATTCGAACGTCTTTGTTTTTAGGAGATTCCCTTTTTTTCAGAAACTAATGACAATAGGTTTTTTCTCGTATATATACTAACTAGTAAGCAAATGCTTTTATATGAGTCGATCCCGTGATACTACACAGAAGTAACTCTAGAAGTAGTTTCATTGTGAACCTTAAGAAAACTTATTGGTCTTTTTCTAACGAAACGTTGGGAACGTTGCAATAATATAAACATACAGTTCTGTGATATAGGGTTAAGTTTTTTTGCTGCACTATTTTTTTATTTTATTAGAATAATACAATGGGAAATATAATGAAGAAATAGCTGTAAGTAGAATATTAATCCCAGATCACAAGATGTATAATAACATCAAAAATGTATTTCTTGTCGTTAGGATTTTCTAATAAAACACTCCTGAAGAAGTTGGAAAAATACCAACTAAACGTTGAGTGAAAAAAATAATTTAATAAGACTTATTTATGGAAGATTTCTGTAGGATCATGAATAAACAAAAATCGTTTAACAGAGTGAGGCCTTATGCCTGATAATCTGCTTAACCATCGGCGAAACGAGTCGTATAATGGTAAGGATGTAGCATATTTTTGGCTTTCCTTTTTATTGCAACTTAGAGCACGTTTAAATTCACTCGATATAATTAGTTACGATGTGCAAAATATCATGACAATCGGACAAACTTTCGGTATTTAGTACATCATTTAGATAAAATCGGTCGAATATATATATATATGGGAGCTATATTTAAATATGTACCGATTAATATAGGACAATTAAATACACTAAGCAAAATTTCATCGCAATCACACAATGGTAGGGGGGTTTTCTGTGCATCATTTACACAAACTCAAACGAAAATATGTATGGGACCTTTAATTGTAGGTCAGAAACGATTTCAAAAAACTTAACGCTACGCTATACAAAATTTCGTCCTAATTGGAAAAAAACCATTGGGAGTTTGGTGTATCATTTGGGACATAGGTGTTCCACTGAAAAATTTGACGAAAGCATATATGGGAGCAATATAAAATTCATAACCAATTTTAATAGGATAAATGGCCTGTATCAGATTTCATCCAATTCGCATCACAAATGCGACCTGTACTTTGTTTACAATTTTGTATCAACAGAAATCCACTCTGAAAGTGATTCAATGCATTTTGTAAGAAGTAACTATGGGTTTATGTCGTTTCCTGGTTTATGTTTCAAACATATATGTATGTATACATTGGAGGGCATAATAAGCCCTATCATGAACATCCGAAAGGAATTCAATCCTTAAGGAAAACAAAATTCTCGAAAAACATATTAGTTCCGTTCCAGAACCTTAAAGAATCTACTCATTTTACATGTTTTGCATCTTTTTACTCGAAAACCGTTCCTCAACCCACAAAACTGGTAAAACATTGACTCAAATTTAAGAGAGCACAAAACAAAATGGCGTTCTCTTTGTAAACTTTTTAATCAAGAAATTTGGTCGAGTAAAAATGGTAAAAAGGAATGCCTACTTCTGATTGGCTGTTATGTTGATTTTGAAGTATTGCCATCTAAATTTGGCATATTTACTAGATTTGCGTTCCCGAACTTTTCAAATTATTTTGCACTCTGAGAGCAATTTTGAAATGTTTCCCTTTTACTAGATTTACAACTAAAAAAGTACTGGAGCAGACCAATTATCTACTCATGAATGAATTGCGAAAAATATATGTAAATATGGCAGAACTAATGAGCCTTTTTTACATCTGGTATACCCATTTCCATGCACCAATGTTGTCCATTTTCCGCAAAATACTAAAATTAAATAGAAAAGTGGATAAATAAATATGTAATTAATTGTTTTCTAATTGACATATTTTTCTCATCCTAACCATGATCGGTAGGAAAACACATGTGTATGACCGTTCGTGATACCTCCTTTTTTGCTTAAGAATTGGTTTTTCTTCAAAAAAAGAAAAAAATAATAATAATAATAAATAAACAAATAAATAAATAAAAACAGTATAAGATAAGATTAGTAATTAACAAGTCTGAATTAAATTTAAATATTTTCGAAACCAGTTAGAAAGTTTCTGTCAGCATTGCCGAAAAAATAAACACTCAGCCTATGATATGTGCAGAATATATTTATTGGTTTATAAGTACGAGTATGTTATTTTAGGAAGTATTTTGCAGGCTTTGGCATAAAGACACTAGGGAATAAGGTTTCGATCACTCATATTTTTGTATCAAAGTGTATATACACTAACTAATTAGCCATAAATCGAAGTCAGATGAAGCTTTTCAGCTTTATTTTATATTACGTGGTAAAGGATGTATTAAAGCAGATAACGAATTATGGATGGACAAATACTTAAAAAATATAACCGGTTTTATTTTTGAGACAAATTTTTGGCAAGCCATTAATATTTATAATCTATATTATCAACTATATCAAGTTTCTCATTAAGCTATTAGAATTCAATAATATTAGGTCGCCAACATAACTTAAATTCTGTTTAAATAGTTTTGGAATTAAAAATAAATCAGCCAATGTTTGCGTATAGCACATCGACGTGCGTTTGATTCACCTCGAAGTATTACTCCTATATCCATAGTTAAGTTTACTGTTAGAACAATTAGTCAACTAGCCTACAGGTTGCAGTTATGGAGCGATTGTGACAATTTTTTTTTAAGAAAATCGAGGTTCGGTCAAGGATGACATTTATAGCGATGATCGATTATTATTTATCTAGTCAAATACACGAAAAACTTTTATTGGATCTAAAATTACTTATCGAAATAATATTTTTGACCCTATTCATATACGTCCGTGTATCTTTTGCTGAAGTTCGATGATTTTTAGTATTTTAAATTAGTCTTTTTATATTCTCATTTATGCAAATATACGAGATATTTTATTGAATAATTAATTTATAATGGTTATCGCTATTAATTGAAAATAATGTCTTTATATACAAGAGAAGACGAAGCAAAATGCATGTTCTCTTAAAAATAAAAATGGACTATTCGCCTTTTATTGCAATTTCCGACATTTACCGTTAGTTATGTGTGTAATTTTTTGCACCTAAGTGTTTTTTAAAAAAAAGTATGGCCAAACAAGCTCTTCAAAATTCGGAGAATTTCATTTATAATTTTGTTTTTTAATTTTTTGGTTCTTAATTACAACAACATTTTTGATATTTATTTGCACCAACAAGTGGGCTAATGATTACTTATATCCATATCATATTGTAAACATACAGTGGTGGTCACGCAATTAAAACATTTATTGTGGTAAACATTTTTTGATCAGCCCTCGATTCATTTGAAGTATTTTTTAATTTTTTTTAATTCAGAACACTTCGATATACTGCACTTAAGAGATTTAGTGTGATAATAGAAAATTATTGCATGCAAATTTTCCATAAATAACGGTTTTTATGAAAATACATCGACTTTGAAGTGGCCATATAATTAAAACACTGTGTAATTTTTTACTTTACTGCATTTTTTTGAACATATTTTTAAAAAATCACTTAAATTTAGGTAAGTTATGCAAATAAAGCATCGATAAAATCATTTACAGAAAACAAATTATGAAAGAATTTGTAAAATTTACCAAAATTGCCAAAAATTTTGTACAGTACACCTAACATTCAGAAAATCACCTTTATTATAGAAAATAAAGTTTCGAATGCGCAAGAAATTGAAATAATAACTCAAAAAATGGCAATTAACTTAAAGGAACGATTCAACTTCGATAGTCTTTATTGAAGAAGGCAGGAATATTTTTGCAGTATGTGAGAAAATATCGATTGATATTGGAATTTATTATATCAAATCGATTGTTCGAGTAGTACAGAATATATTTTATCAAACAATATATAAGTCACAACGAAACGAACAGAGATCAACGCCTATGTTGGCGAGTAAAAGTTTCTGGCACACAGCAGTATTTTTGATGCTCAACACAAGACTTTAAATATTTGTCAAATTGAAAATTTTTTCTTCTTTTAGGCTAAAATAAATTAAATGGACATTATACTATTCAAAAAATATTATTATGGAAAAATATTGTCATGTTCAATAGATTTTAAGGGTCAAGAGTTAACCATCTAACATGCTGCTGTGTACCAGAAGCGTTTTCTCGTCAACATAGGTGTTTGATCTCTGTTCGTTCTGTTGTGACTGATATATTTTTTGATAAAATATATTCTGTACTACTCGAACAATCGATTTGATATAATAAATGCCAATATCAATCGATATTTCCTCACATACTGCAAAAATATTCCGGCCTTCTTCAATAAAGGCTATAGAAATTGAGTCGTTCTTTTAGGTTAATTCCCATTTTTTCAGTTTTTATTTCAAATATTTATTTATTCTGAGAATTATTTATAGTTTTCTACTAATTCTAGCAATTTCTGGTGCATTCGGAACTTTATTTTCTATAATAAGGGTTATTCTCTGAATGTAAGGTGTACTGTACAA